ATTTGTGCACTGTGCATATTCTAAGTGGGGACTTTTTTTTAATTGAATGCCATCTTTAGAAAATCCCAGCTTCCTTTCCCCAGATGCAATAAATTTCTAGACCTTGTGATTCTAAAAACCTTGGACCCAGAGGCAGCACATTTCTCACACAAGGCAAAAGGACAACATGAAGGGGACTTTCGGTAGCAGCCTGGCTATGAAACCAGTTTTGCAGGAAGGCTGCTTTCAAAAGGATTTGGGAGACCACACCTCCCACCCTGCGAAGTATCAGCCAATATAAACTCCTTCCAGGTCTCATTTCCATCTCAGTGTGTGTGCATGCGCGTGATTTGGCCCAGGGGCTGTCTAATTCTGACCCCCGTTGAAAGAACTATTTGGTAACCCATTTGCAAATTATCAAGCCACACATGCACAGCATGTAAGAACAGTGCCTCTCAAGCTTTCAATCCTCCAGCCAGAGCTTCAGGAGGCTGAAAATTACAGAGATCCATTGGTCCTAAAATGGTGGCAGACAGTGTTTGCATAATCAGCTGGCAGGTACTGGCATCATGCAGCTACCATATTAACATGCAGATTGCCAGCTGCTTCCTACTCAGAATTCCATCTTGCATAAAGATGGAGAACCACTTAGAAGCAAGAGGAGAACCTCCTGCGGTCCTATTGCCTGCTGAAAGTGTGCTATTATTAAAGGCAGCATGTTGCAAATGGTTCAGAGGGGTCAGAAGTGAATCTATTACTTTTTTTCACTGGAAAGACATCATTGTTTCCAGGACACTGTCAGACAATGGCATGATGACCATAAAACTCCGTTATTTCGGGGAATGCAGCTCTTCCTTCTACAGAGCACTTCTACAGTGGTACCTCTGGATGTGAACAGGATCCGTTCTGGAGCCCTGTTCGCATCCTGAGTAGAGCGTAACCCACGACTGCACATCTGAGCATGTCGCAATTTGCCGCTACTGCACATGCGCGTGATGCCATTTTGAGCGTCTGGGCATGCGCGAGTGGTGAAACTCGGAAGTAACACGCTCCGTTACTTCCAGGTCGCCGCGGAGTGTAACCTGAAAACGCTCAACCTGAAGCAGGTATGACTGTACATGTGATTTTCACAATGTGACCATTTTTAAAATATGGATTTGTGGCCTAAATTAAACTAGGGTTTCCCAGTGACTGGGAAATCAAGCTTACTTGAGAGTAAGCCCCACTGAAGTCAGTGGAGCTTTCTTCTGAGTAGACATATTTGAACTGCTCAGATTAAATTAGAACAATCCAACAAGGGGTGAGTTGAGCTGGGCTTGGCTGCCAATGTTTCATGCTCTCTCCCACTTCTCTCAAAATGTCCTGCCCAGACCCTGCTCCCTGCCTCTGTGCCCTCATCTCCCCCTGTTCCCCTCTGTCAGCCTTTGCCAAAACACATTCCAAATTCCTAAGACGCCTGGATCATGGAAAGAAAATGAGTTATGCCTTTTCAAGCCTACGCAAGTGCGCGCTGTTCGCAGAATACTTTCTACCCACATAATATATGATTTCTCAGCAAAATGCAGTTTGAGCCAATTGTTAACAATGTGGTAATTAGGCCAAATATGACCTTTTAAATGAGACTGCGAAAATACCTAAAAAGCAACCGATCTCTCTCTAACACACACACACCCAATTTTTCTTGAGGCTGATTTCAACAATCACGAAATATTGTGCTTATTATTGGATCTGTACACAATGGGTGGTATTCAATTTACTCAAAGTTAGCCCATTGAAATTAATGAACATGAGTAAGTCAGGTCCATTAATTTAAAAAGGTCTGTTCTGAGCTTAATTTACAGTGTAATCCTGTGCATGTGTACTCAGAATTAAGCACCATTGAGTCTAATGGGTTTTACTCCCAGGGAAGTATATGAGCATAGGATTGCAAACTTAGCATAGATTAGCATGGCCAGGGTATTGTTTAGGGATTTTTGTTGGGGTGCATGTGTTGCTTCTATTAACTTTTTTGTATCATTGTTTTAGATATTATGATTTATGTGGAAATTGTTTCAATGTGGTTGCGTATTTTTTGATATTTTATTATGTTATGTTTGCAATTGTCTGTTTTTATGTTGTAAGCTGCCCTGAGCATGGTTTTAACTGTAGAAAGACAGCTTACAAATAAAATTATGTGTGTATCAATATACCCTTAACATTCTTCATATATTTCGTTTCCACTTAGTTATGGCAATTGGCAGCCGAGATACAAAATCTTCCATTGTTCTTGTTATTTTTTAAACCTTTTTTTGTATCAGTTTAATAACAGCAGCTACTGTTTGACATTTTTGTTTTGTATTGTTATCAAGCATTTCTTTTACATAAAATATTAGCAGCCTTGTACTCAGCATTGCTTAGGAATTCTAATGTTCAGTCCACCATCTTGATTCAAAATGGCACCCAACTGTATCCAAAAACAGATGGAAAACTTCTCCTTGATCTCCGGAAACCATCATGCACATTGTGGCTGAAATATTGTAAGAGGTGTCCAAATGCATAGAGGAAAAACAACTTTCCAAAACATATAGTAGAGAAAAAGTCATTCAGAGTTTAGAGGGCATTTGAGACCAGCTCCACAACAAACATGCTATCTATTGTTGAGCCATACTGGCTGTCCTTACTAGACCAAGGAGAATACACAAACAACTCATGTCATCAAACATGGGTATCTATCTTACCTGCGCATTGGAGGGGTCCTGGAAAGAATCCTTCACCACATGATGCCACACACTGGCCATCCTTCAACTGCAGCGAATCTCTGCATGCTGTACACACAAACCCGTCAGTGCAATTAGAGCATGTCTTCTTGCAGGCTGGCCAAGACAGGAAAGAAAGAAGAGTTTCTTACAGAACAGGAATCTGCAACTGGTAGCCTTGGGGCCATATCTGCACACTTTGGAGACTGCCCTTCCACTCAATACAATACGATAATCTTTATTGTCATTGTCCCATACAGAACAACGAATCTACGTAAGACATTCAAAAACCAACAAGCCTGCTATCCCAGCTATCCCAACCTGGTTAGCCCCCGAAAAACTCTGATACCCCATTTTTAAATACAATATACTCCCTTAGAGACCCCTTACACTGCATTTAAAACCAAAATCACATTTGGATAGAAACTGTTTCTCAGGCAGCTAGTCCTAGTCTTTATAACCCTGTACCTTCTTCCAGCTGAAAGATCATTTCTGGGGTGGACACTATCCTGCACTATCTCTGCAGCTTTTTTATGGCACCTGGAAGCATAGATTTGATCCAAGGTGGGAAGAGTACACCCAATTATTCTCTCTGCAGTCTTTACAACCCTGGACGGCATTGTTTTTCCCCTGACCATGCAGCTCCCAAACCACACACAGAGACCATAAGTTAACACACTCTCAACAGTACAATGGTAAAATGCCATCAACAGGTCCTTTGAGTGCCTACAGCACTCCCTCCTTGATGTGGCCTTTCAGGTGCTTATGAAGGATCTAAATCATCATACGGGTATCTTGGTAGAAGGCTCTGCTATGGATGATGATGAGTGGTTCCTCATCATCCTGGGGAAAAGTGACAAGAGGGGTGCCACAGGGTTCTGTCTCGGGCCCAGTGTCATTCAACAACTTTATGAACAACTTGGATAAATGAGTTGATGGGATGCTCATCAAATTTGCAGATGACACCAAACTAGGAGGGATAGCCAATGCTGCAGAAGACAGAATCAAGATTCAAGATGACCTTCACAGATTGGAGAACTGGGCCAAAACAAATGAAGGGAATTTCAATAGGGACAAATGCAAGGTTCTGCACTTAGGCAAGCTGCACATATGTTAAGATAGGAGACACCTGGATTGCCAGTAAAGGTAAAGGGACCCCTGACCATTAGGTCCAGTTGCGGACAACTCTGGGGTTGCGGCGCTCATCTCGCTTTACTGGCTGAGGGAGCCGGCGTACAGCTTCCGTGTCATGTGGCCAGCATGACTAAGCTGCTTCTGGCGAAACCAGGAGCACGGAAACGCCGTTTACCTTCTTGCTGGAGCGGTACCTATTTATCAACTTGCACTTTGACGTGCTTTCGAACTGCTAGGTTGGCAGGAGCAGGGACCGAGCAACAGGAGCTCACCCCCATCGCGGGGATTCAAACCACCGACCTTCTGATCAGCAAGCCCTAGGCTGTGTGGTTTAGACCACAGTGCCACCCACATCCTATGGATTGCCAGTAGTACATGTGAAAAGGATTTAGGGGTCTTAGTAGATCAGAAGCTCAACATGAGACAACAGTGTGATGCAGCCGCAAATAAAGCTGATGCTATTCCTGGTTGCATCAGCAGAAGTCTAGTGTCTATTTGGTCTTGGTCAGACCACACATGGAATGAGTCCTGTGTCTAGTTCTTTGGACCACAATTTAAGAAGGATATTGACAAGATGGAATGCATGCAGAGGAGTGCAACCAAGATGATCAAGGATCTGGAAACCAAGCCTTATGAGGAATGGTTGAGGGAGCTGGGTATGTTGGATGGCCATCTGTCAGGGATGCTTTAGTTGAGATTCCTGCATTGCAGTGGGTTGGACTAGATGACTCTTGGGTCCCTTCCAACTCTACAATTCTACAATTCTGTGATGTTTCTGACCAACTGAAAACCACAAAGGCATCCCTCTTGCTGAAAAGCACACACTGACAAACTTTGAAAGTCAACACAACTCTGGGCATGCTATTAGCACACTTTTTTTCTGACAAAGGGAAGCCACAACTGACAGATTCATCATTCCTTACCTGGAATCATCTGCAAGGAAGAAGGGCAGGTTATTAAGTCATTGTTTTATTTGTAGGGAAAAGTTGGTAAGTCTGCTTTTCATTATCCAGAAAAGCACCCCACAGAGAGTTACAGGCACACACAAAAACATGAAAATGTTTTATTTTTCTGCAGCTAAGTATGATATTTGAAATATTGTAAATAATAAAGAGATTACCTAAGCAAAGCCCAGCATCCTGATAATACCCAGATCCACAGCTGGCCACACAGCGCCCAGCCTGCAGCAGCTTGCTTGTGTCACGGCAGACGTCGCAGAGGTCAAAAGACTGTGAGCAGGTCACACAATCCGCATGGCACCGACCTGTTGTTGGTGAAGAAGAGGCAACTCTGGTTCAGTATAGTTGAGTGTAACAGCCAGAGGGCAAAGGTTTTATCAGGCCTCTTCTCCCTCAACTGTCATTTGGGGGCAGCCATTTTATCAGTGGGAGAGATGGGGATAAAGGTAAAGGTAAAGGGACCCCTGACCATTAGGTCCAGTCGTGACCGACTCTGGGGTTGCGGCACTCATCTTGCTTTATTGGCCGAGGGAGCCAGAGTACAGCTTCCGGGTCATGTGGCCAGCATGACTAAGCCGCTTCTGGCGAACCAGAGCAGCGCACGGAAACGCCGTTTACCTTCCCGCCAGAGCAGTACCTATTTATCTACTTGCACTTTGATGTGCTTTCGAACTGCTAGGTTGGCAGGAGCAGAGGCCGAGCAACGGGAGCTCACCCCGTCACGGGGATTCGAACCGCCAACCTTCTGATCAGCAAGTCCTAGGCTCTGTGGTTTAACCCACAGCGCCACCCGCTAGAAATTGGGGGCTGAGTCTGTGAATTCCCCCCCCCTTTCCCTCCTTGTCCCTCGTGTTTTATTTTTGTTTGTTTGTTTCTTAGAATGTAAGCCTGTGTGTAGGGAGTGTCTTGTTTTGATTTCATGAAACTTGCTTTGGGAGCTTTGCTGGCTGAAGAGTGGGGGTACAAATGCTATTATTATTATTATTATTATTATTATTATTATTATTATTATTTATTATGCCACCCACTCTGGGTGGCTTCTACAACAAAATGTTAAAAACACAATCAAACATCAAACATTAAAAGCACGAAGAAATAAAAATATATATGCACATATGCAGTATTTGTTGCAGTTGTTAGTACAACCACAGTTCATACACTTCTTCTTCGGCGATCACTCATAGCCAAGTAAGATTGTCTTCCATAAACACAGTTTTAACAATGAGTCCATAAGTGACTGTGGAGGCCAATTCTGGATCCACACATCCTTCCACAGTGGAGAGATTGGTTTCTGGGCAGGAGTTGATCACGGTGTGAATTTGCCAAGCATGCCTTCCTCCTAGCACATTTCTTCCTCACGTCCTGAGTTCGAGTGTCTTCAAAGCCCATGACACCTTTGGTAAAGGCTGTTCTCCAACTGGAGCTCTCGCAGGCCAGTGTTTCCCAGTTGTCAGTGTTTATACTACATTTTTTTAGATTTGCCTTGAGACAGTCTTTAAACCTCTTTTGTTGACCACCAGCAGTACGCTTTCCATTTTTAAGTTCGGAATAGAGTAGTTGCTTTGGAAGACGATCATCAGGCATCCGCACAACATGACCAGTCCAACGAAGCTGATGTTGAAGAATCATTGCTTCAACACTGGTGATCTTTGCTTCATCCAGTACACTGATATTAGTTCGCCTGTCTACACACACACACACACACACACACACACACACCCTTTTGTGTTGGAATCTTTGTAAGGCGCCCTTTCCCGCTGAAGAGCAGGGCAAAGACTCTTCAAACAAACAAGACAAACGAGTAAACAAACGCAGGATACCTGCGCCCGAGCCTTCAGGGACAAGGAGGGGTGAGACATTTGAAAAGAAACAAAGTTCAACAGTCTTAGAAATACCTGGCTCGCAAGGAGGGCAGCATTGTCCTGCCGAGCAACTGCCACACTGCCTGTGGGGCAAGTCGGACAGGACGGAGAGGAGCAAATCACATCAGAATCCTGGCACTCGCATTCGCGGCACGGACCTTCTTTCCATTTTTCTCCGCTCTACATGAGAAAACGATAACAGCTACGGCCCTATTGTATATTTTCAGCACTATGTTATTTATTAAATTTTGTGGTAAGTGGAACCAGAGCCAAAAGGGGATGGAGCATGGGCAGGCAAACTAAGACCTGGGGGCCTGATCCGGCCCAATTGCCTTCTCAATCCAGCCCAGGAATCAGTGTGTTTTTACATGAGTAGAATGTGTCCTTTTATTTAAAATGCATCTTTGGGTTATTTGTGGGGCATAGGAATTCGTTCATTTCCCCCCCCAACAAATATAGTCCAGCCCCTGCACAAGGTCTGAGGGACAGTGGACTGGCCCCCTGCTGAAAATGTATGCTGAGTCCCGATAGAGCAACAACTCAATTTTACCTTTGCACAGTAAGGTGATTTCTAAACACACAGCTGCAGCTCCCAAAGGGGCTTCACCGTCAACCCCTCTTCATAGGGAACTCTGGGGGTTGTAGTTCTCAGAGGTGGCTGGGGGGTGTCCTCACAGCTGTCAGCACCCTTAACAAACTACAGCTCCCAGAGAAGGGCTAGGGGAAGACATGACTTTTTAAAGCGGCATCCTTGTGCTTTAAATGTGTGGTGTGAATGAGGCCACACATGTGCGCATAAAATGTACATGTGTACATGTCTTCGGATATAAAATAGGCATCCCACTCCTTGACAAACGGCTAAACTAGCCTTGGAAAAGGAATGCTTTGCTCCACCGGCAAATGCTTTGATGCAGGCTTAGATGTTACAGTTCAGACAACATTGATCTTTTCCCCCTGCCTGTATTGATTACACTGTTAGGAGCCATTCAATTGTACAAATGTAGCAGCTAATATCATCATTCAATTGCCAGAATAAGGAAAGCCCTCAAAACCTGATCGCATCAAATTATGATAAAACAGCTAAACATTTGGGAGCAAGAGTGCTGTAAAACATTATCGAATGAGGTAATCCCATTCCAATAAAGCTAGCAATCGACAGAGAACATTTCAATATTGTTTCCAAGGATCCTGAAAGTGCCTTTCTGTTGTGCAACCTCTCTCTCGACTTGAAACACACTGCGATCAGACCACAAATGAGTGGGATAGCTTTGCCGTTGGGCAAAGGGCTGGAATAAATTTCCTTTGGGTACTTCTGTGACATATAATGCTATGAATCTGGCAATCCTGGCTACTGTGGATCAATCTTGATTTTTGCCTAGGGTGGCTGGGGCAACCCCGTCAGAGGGGTGGCATTGGGCAGCAGTCATCACCTGATTGACAGTCCAGGAGGCCTGACAAAACATGATGGACTGGTTGAAGTGCAGGAAAAGTCAATAGTCTCTCAGGGGTGGCACTCACCATTAATCATGGTAGTAGCCCAGCATACTTATTTGTTCCTAAGGTGTTTATTGATTGCTGTTTTGGCTGCAAGCTGTTAGCAGCCTGCCTACCATTTTGTACCCTCCATCAGGCCCTGGTTCTATCATCAATCAATCAAAATGTTATTATGGTCACAGGCCAGCATAAGTAGGTGGGTGTACAACCATTTAAAGTCTGTGAAACGTTTTGGAAAGCTAAAATTATTAAAACAGAAGGTACATATAAAAGACTAAAAGAAGCTAAAAGAAGGGTTAGGGGCATTAAACAAATGTGGAAAAGCATAAAAGGTTAGTATATAAAAGGCTATGGCTATCAATTTACAAGGCACAAGGATATGAGTGTTCATTAAATCTAGTTTGTGGTGCAGGTCAAGGATTTAGCATCATTCCAGGGATATATTCATTGCAGTGAGGAAATGACAGGTGCCACCAAAAATTGGTGGAGAATATTTTTTGGGGGGGGGCGGATTCTGCAAATTGGCGTACTTCTAGGGGAGGAAGAAAAACCTCAGAAATTTTCTCAGGAAAACTGAGAGTTCTCTGCTTAGCTCCAGTATCCAATGCCCTTTCACCCAGAGGAAACAAAAAACCGGAGCGAAAGGCTCCTGGAATGTCTCTCATTACAGAGGAATGGGGCAAGAACCTCAGGACTGATTGATAGACACAGCCAGTTCCCAACATCCCAGCACACTGAAGCATGGCCAAGAAACAGATCCCGGGCAATTGAGACAAGAGCTGGCTTGACTCTCGCTGCAGACAAGGGCTAGCCTGGTATGCAATGGCTCCCAGTTCTCCAGAGCAAAGATACAGTGACTTCCTATGCACTTTTGCTCAAAAGTTGCCCCACTGCAGTCAGTGGGGTTTACTGCCAGGTTAGTTGCACATAGAACTGATTGCTGAAAAGGGCAAAGGACCACAGAAGCTGCGAGTCATGCTAGCTGGGCACCCCATTCTGTTCCTCCTCTCGTTTCAGATACGTCAACAAGGAAAGTTTGTACAGTGGTACCTCGGGTTAAGTACTTAATTCGTTCCGGAGGTCCATACTTAACCTGAAACGGTTCTTAACCTGAAGCACCACTTTAGCTAATGGGGCCTCCTGCTGCTGCCGTGCCGCCGGAGCCCGATTTCTGTTCTCATCCTGAAGCAAAGTTCTTAACCTGAAGCACTACTTCTGGGTTAGCGAAGTCTGTAGCCTGAAGCGTATGTAACCTGAAGCGTGTGTAACCCGAGGTACCACTGTACAGTGGTACCTCTGGTTGCAAACGGGATCCATTCCGGAGGCCCGTTCACAACCTGAACAGAACACAATCCACGTCTGCACACACGTGGGTCACGATTCACCGCTTCTGTGCGCACATGTGACATCATTTTACACGTCTGCGCATGCGCGAGCGGCAAAACCCAGAAGTAACCTGTTCCGTTACTTCCGGGCCACCGCGGGACGCAACCTGAAAACGCTCAACCTGGAGCAAACGTAACATGAGGTATGACTGTATACTTTTCAGCACTCACTAGCTTAAGTGTTAGAATATTGCTTTTTAAAAAAGAAAAAACAACAGATTTTTGGATGCAGAAACGCGTCTTTCAGCTAAGTAGATATGTGCAAGGTATAAACCTACAGGGCTCAGGTTACGTAGCCTGTGATTCTACGCTGATGGCTCCCATTTGGGTGAATAACATTTTTCAATCCATCACCCAAACAGTTCTATGTGCCCCAAGTTTTCAGGCTACTTACATATTTGGTACGCCCTTGGTGAACACAGGGCCTGCCTCTGGGAATGCATTCAGGACAGCACTTGCCTTCTAAATGAACTAATTCTTCACCCTGTGGAGAAAGAGGCAGCCACAGCATGAGACCCAGAATTAGCATTAAAAAAAAAAAAATACAATGCTGGAAGAAGACAGTGGGAGCCCGAACTTTTTTTTAACTGGAATGCAGTCTTTAAGATCCTATTTCCCTTTATCACTCCTGGAGCTCATTCCATCACTCTTGGTTCTCTCCCAAAAGATATGTGTGCTTAAATACCTTTGTGGCTGCAGAACAATTCCCGCAAGCTCCCAGCCGAAATGCCACAAAACTGGCAAGAGATCAAAACGGGGATCCAGTTTCATGGACTGAATCCAGCCCGCATGGCTATCGCAATCGGCTTGCTTGATTACTTTGTCGTTCATCGCAAAAGTTTCCTCCGAAGAGCTCAAGAGTGGTGGATAGGGTAATGGTCCCTTTTTAGCCTCACAACCACTCCTGTGAGGTAAGCCAGGTATATTTTAGGCTGCTGAGAGAGCGCAAACTGCATGATTGCCACTGAGCCGCGAAGGCAAATGGGGACTTGAACCCAGGTCAGGGCAAGGAGATAAAGGTAATGAACATGGCTCTCTTGCTTCTCAGTTTCTCCTTACAACAAACCTGTGAGGGAGGTTAGGCTGGGAGGAGGTAGCTGGCCCAAGGTTACCCAGTGAGTTTCACTGCTGTGGGGGGATTTGAACCCGGGTCCCCCAGTTCCTAATCTGACACTCTCTCTTTTTCCCCCCAATAATTTTTTCTTATTTTCTTTACACATTCATTCTTACAGTACAGTGGTACCTCGGGTTAAGTACTTAATTCGTTCCAGAGGTCCGTTCTTAACCTGAAACTGTTCTTAACCTGAAGCACCACTTTAGCTTATGGGGCCTCCTGCTGCCGCTGCACTGCCAGAACCCGATTTCTGTTCTTATCCTAAAGCAAAGTTCTTAACCTGAAGCACTATTTCTGGGTTAGCAGAGTGTGTAACCTGAAGCATATGTAACCTAAAGCATATGTAACCCGAGGTACCACTGTACATTAATCAACCTATAAGCCTTATGCTCTGCCGAGCTTGCGACTTCCCTCCCTCCCTTCAGTTGGTATCACTTATCACATCCTGTCGCGTATTTTATCTTTTTACACCTAATTCATCCTGTCCACATTGTAGGAGTTACTTCAATCCTGCTAGTGTCTTTAAGTTTTTACAGTTGTCCTTTAAATACACAATAAATTTACTCCAATTTTTCCGGAATCTTTGATCATCCGGATCCTGAATCCTGCCAGTCAGTTTGGCTAACTCTGCATAGTCCATCATTTTCGTCTGCCACTCCGCAATGGTAGCAACTTCTTGTGATTTCCAGTTTGGGGCCAACAAAGTCCTTGCCGCAGCTGTGGCATACATGAATAATCTTTGATCTTTTGTCTTAATCTCCTTTCCCATCAGGCCAAGCAAAAAAAGCCCCTGGCTTTTTAGGGAAAGTATATTTTAATATTTTCTTAAGTTCATTGTAAATCGACTCCCAAAATGTCTTAACTTTATCACAAATCCACCACATGTGATAATATTCACCATCCACCTCTTTGCACTTCCAACATTTTTTATCCCTCATCCTATATATTTTTGCCAATTTTGCCGGCGTTAAATACCACCTATAAATCATCTTCATTAAATGTTCTTTCAGAGCCATACATGACATAAATTTTATACTTTCATTCCATAATTTTATCCAATTCGATGTTATGCCCAAAATCGATAGCCCACCTAATCTGACACTCTCACCACTAAACCACACAGGCTCGGTGGATATAGCCATGGGCAGATATTGTTGGGATACTGCCAGGGAGACAAAGTCCATCATGGCCCCACGTCGCCTCCGGACGTCCATCAATCTCCCGTAGACACGCAGTATCAGCAATTAGCGACACGAGCTCCAGAAATAGCTTGCCACATTCCAGAGCTGATGCACGCTCTTATCAGCAGATAATGCACAGCAAAAGATGCACGCAGGAGAGCATTATTTATAAGTTTATTCTGCGTTGGTCAGAACAAAGAAAAAACATGACCGCCTGCTTCAGTGTTCAGGCACCGAGAGAGACAACAGCTCTATCAAAAACAGAAAACATCCTGTGAACAGGAAATACACAGACTCTGTGACTCACAAAGCCTGCTCCCTTTTAAGGTGGAACGGAAATATCCTAACAGATATATGTGTGTGGATATGTGTGGATCTAAATTCTCAGTCATGTGCGCTAGCTGTATCCCACAAAAGTCATCTTCATGATACATATAAAAATGCAGTAATATTCTGTTCCCAATGGAGCAGAAAATACCCTCTATGCATGTGACCGCCGCTGTGCGGATGTTATTGGCCCAGAGATGGAAAGAAGATAAAGTCCCGACCAGAGAAGAATGGCAGATTAAGTTGATGGCTTGTGCCGAAATGCCAGAAATGACTGGAAGGGTAGGACTCGAACCGATGGCTTCAAGTTGCAAGAAAAGAGATTCCGACTATACATTCAGAAAAAGCTTTCTGACAGCAGGAGCTGTTTGGCAGTGGAACAGCCTCCCTTGGGAGACGATGGACTCTTGTTCCTTGGAGGTTTTTCAGCAGCGGTTGGGTGGCCATCTGTCATGGATGCTTTGACTGAGATCCTGGCATTTTGGGGGGTTGGATTAGATGACCCCTGGCTCCCTTCCAACTGTACAATTCTATGAATCTATGGCTCCTCTGAAGGCAATTTCGTTGACCCTTCACGGGGAAAGCTTTGATCAATGTTTGATCACCTCTGGGAAGTGTGCTTCTAGGAAAAGGAGGTTAAACTATTTATACATCTGTTGCAAAATTATGCGGTGTGGAAAGAGCCCTTGTCACAGTACATATTGTTAACATTCCCGGTTGGTGCTGTTACCTTCCCCAGCACGCACAAGAGCCCACTTCATATAACAAGCAAGGACAAATATGTATGGGGTGGGGTCCTCCCTGCCAAAAAATGCCCGCCTGCCTGCCAAGATTCAGAGCTGGGGAGGATTGTTTAAGATAACGGTCTCATTTTTCGCTCCCCAGCTTACAATGCAACGCCAGGGGCCACAGTGATAGCAGCGAGGCTGTTGAAATGAAAGCCTCTTCAAAGGTCTACACAATAGTTTGTACCTCGTGCAATCCCTGAGGCGACGCTATGTTCAGAAAAGGAAAAAACGAAGAAAGAAAGCACTTGTTCTCTAACGTTTTCTCCTCGGAACATCGTGGCCTCCCACTCTGTTGGGTGGGGACCCTCTTAAGAGCAGTCCTGCAGGATCAGACCTGGGGTGGCATTCAGCTAAGCCCCACTCAGGGGTTTTATAAATCGGATTCTTGGTTCCATATATAGCGGGCATTGCAATAAATAGTACTACAGGTCCTCTACACAAGGTTGCCCACACAAAGTCTCTCCTTGTACTGTACTTTGCTGTACTGACCATCCACCACCGTCGAGGGCATCGATTGGAATCATAATTGGGAGTTTTGTCAAATAACTAGCTCGGATGTGCTCCGTTTTGATAAGTGGGAACCATGGTGAGCTTTTGGTAGAGGCAATCGTGGTTGAATCCCTTTCTGCATCGGACCTGAAGAGACAATCTCTTAAGTGCCTCTTATCCATCTTCACGATCACCTAAAGATCTTGTAATCAAGAGGCGTTGGGTGGCATCCTTCCAACATTTGGTCTGTTCCCATTCTGTGTGCTAAGCCCTACTCAGAGTAGAACCACTTGAAATTAATGATCCTAAGATGGGCATGTCCATTAACTTCAAAGGGTTTACTCTTACGTAGGATGAGCGTGGAATACCACCTCAAAGGCCTAGTTGGTCCAGCGTCCTTTCTCACCGGTGCCAACTTAGGGCCTCTGAAAAGCCCACAAGCAGGATAGGAGCACAGGGATGTTTTCTTGCTCAGGATGTTCCATAACCAGCATTCAGGAACACCCTGCCTCTGAGCCCGGGGGGAACATACAACCATCCTTTCCTTAAGTGGGACTACCTTTGAAGGTGACTCGGAAACTACAACTAATCCAGAACGCGGCAGCTAGACCGGTGAAAAGGAGCAGCCACTGGGACCATATAACACCGATCCTAAAGAACCTACAGTCGCTCCCATTACGTTTCCGAGCACAATTCAAAGTGTGGTTCTGACCTTTAAAGCCCTAAATGGCCTCAGCCCTGAATACCTGAAGGAGCATCTCCACCCCACCATCCACTAAGATCCAGCTCCGAGGACCTTCTGATGGTTCCCTCACTGTGAGAAGTGAAATTAGAGGGAACCAGACAGAGGGCCTTCTAGGTAGCGGTGCCCGCCCTGTGGAACACCCTCCCATCAGATGTCAAACAGATAAACAGCTATTTGACTTTTAGATGACATCTGAAGCCCTATACCAGGATGCTTTTAATCTGTGATGTTCTGTTGTGGTGTTGTTGCTGCTGTTGTGTTTCTGTATACTGTATTATGTTGGAAGCCATCCAAAATGGCTGGGGCAATGCAGTCAGATGGGCGGCGTATAAGTACCGTAATTTTCTGTGTATAAAACACTGCTTTTTGCTTTTAAAAAATTAGGCAAAAATTGGGTGTCGTCTTACACACAGATAGTGAATGCAGAAGGGCGACAAGCGGTAAATGGCAGCAGCAAACAGGAGACTGGAAGTGGTGATTGGGCGGGTGATTGGTGGCTGCGGCAAGGCCTGCTAGCGATTGGCTGTGGCTGTGCCAATTGGGCAGGCAATTGGTGGCTGTGGAGAGGCAGGAAGGCGATTGGCAGCTGTGGCAAGTGGGTGGGTGGGCTGTTGGTGGCGGCAAGTGGGCAGACAATTGGCGGCTGTGGCGAGGTGTGCAATTGGCAGTGGCTGTGGCAAACGATTGGCAGTGGCGGGCAGGTGGGTGAGCGATTGGCGGAAGTGACCTCCCCCACCCCACCCCAAAAGCTAAACAACTCAATTTCTGAATTTGGGGTTTTAAAAATAGGGGTCGTCTTATACATGGGGGTGTCTTGTACATGGAAAAATATGTTGTTGTTGTTGTTATTATTATTATTATTATTATTATTATTATTATTATTATTATTATTATTTGCTGGGCCTGAACTCCTTTTCTACAAAGCTATTGTGGAAATATGAATGGTTCACATTAGCGCTGCTCATCCCACACAATGTGCTATTGCTGCTTCTCAAACGCAGCTGCAGCTGTTCATTGTGAGGGAACAGGCATATTAACCTGAGCCTCGAAAAGAAACAAGCCCCCGCCGTGCTGAGGAAAAGATCTTAAACGCCCACAGTGGCACCCTTTCAAAAATATCACAGACTGCCTAGGATATTGCACTCTCACTCTCTCTCAGAACAGCAGAGCTGAGGATTGTGGGATTTCCCGGGGCAGTTCAATGCCTGCCAACAAACTTCACCCTTCTCCCAGTCATCTGGTAATAAATAAATGCAAGCCCACATTTGTCGGAGAACTTAAGAGACAGCCACCTGAAACTCGCGGCTTGTCGATAGGCTCATCCCAACCAGCGTGTGAAATGAGTTTCTTTTCTTGCATAGTCTCCATAATCCTGTCCCTGCCTACCTGCCCTGCCTACGCCAGTGGCCTCGTTGCAGCTTAAACAGAGTTATGTGACCAGAAAAGTTAATTCTTCCCCAACGAAGGATGAAACCCGCGGAGACCTGGCTTCAATTTAGCTCCGGTTTACTGATGCAAATGTCCTAAATACAGAACTAGCTGGGAAGATTTGGGAGGGTTTTGAAAGCAGGCGGAAGGGGAGAGAGAAGATACCTGCTGCTTTTGTTGCCGACTTTATAAAATATTTCGGTGGAATGGCACCGATGACACCTCTGGGGGCTGCTGAGCTAGAATACATCACTGATAATAAGCCGCGGAGTGTGCACTCTGGACTAAAAAATACATTGCTATCCATCTAAAGTTAATCCAAATTCCACATCCAAAAGAGTAGAGTTCGGCTGCCCCTGTAAATAATGCAAATTTGCAAAATGTCTCTTACTTTGCATAATTGATGCTGTGAATCCTTACACACACACATACACACACTGACTATCTAGCGTCATTTTTTCTGCTTATCATGAAGCAGAGGCAAGAAAGGTCACAAGAGGGTATGGACCAGATGTCAGGAGCAACTGCATCTAGGGCTGGGACCCCATAGCTCTTGTGCACAGCTGCCCCATAAGCTGCCAGGGTTGGGTATGTGGGCATCTGTGGCAGGAGGGGGGAGAAAGTGGGCAATCCCACTGTCAAGAGCAGACGGCAGATACTTAACTCTTTACTGTCAAAGATAACACTAATAAATAAATAATAATAAGAATAATAATTTATTTGTAACCCACCCCTCTGGCTGGGTTTCTCCAACCACTCTGGGCAGCTTCCAACAAAGATTAAAAATACCTTAAAATGTCACACATTAAAAACTTGGTTGGAGGGCGTTCCACAGGGCGGGTGCCACTACCGAGAAGGCCCTCTGCCTGATTCCCTGTAGTTTTGCTTCTCGCAATGAGGGAATCGCCAGAAGGCCCTCAGCGCTGGACCACTTGCATCACTTTTACAGCTCTGGATATCTGTGAATACCAATCTAGCGGCTAGGCAGCTATTTCAGGTCCATGTTCTGTGGAGCAGTTGTAGCAACAGGGGACCACCCCCTTTCCACCAGCTGGAGACTATGCCTGCATGGAAGCTTCCTCTGCCCTTCCCCTTTCAGCCCCTTCCTGGTCCTGGGTTACTGTTGTGCTGGAGAAGGGTGGGGAATATTTCACTTGCCTGGCCTGCCTCTTCCTCCAACCCCTCCTGCGCTCCACCCTCCAGCTCTGAAGTTTCCCTTGCCTCTGACTCTTGCCTCTTGACTGATTGTCAGAGACTGGCATAATGAGGATGAGTGGTGGGTGCCGCCTGCCCTAGAGCCCACCCCCCAGGGATGACACAGAAGACGACTTAGACCCTGGATCATGGTGGTGGTGTCACGGTCCGGTTCACGGGCGATCGAAGTCCTGGCAGGGGACTTCAGGACCAGGGGCAAGATGCCGGGGTGAGAGCAGGAACGGGGGTCCAGAAGCCAGGAGTCGGGAAGCCAAGAGTCTGAGGGTCAGGAAGCAAGGAGTCACGAAGTCAAGGGTCCGAGGATCAAGAAGCAGGGAGTCAAGAAGCCAAGAGTCCGAGGGTCAAGAAGCAAGGAGTCACGAAGTCAAGGGTCCGAGGATCAAGAAGCAGGGAGTCAAGAAGTCAAGGGTCCGAGGATCAAGAAGCAGGGAGTCAAGAAGTCAAGGGTCCGAGGATCAAGAAGCAAGGAGTCAAGAAGCCAAGAGTCCGAGGGTCAAGAAGCAAGGAGTCACGAAGTCAAGGGTCCGAGGGTCAAGAAGCAAGGAGTCAAGAAGCCAAGAGTCCGAGGGTCAAGAAGCAAGGAGTCACGAAGTCAAGGGTCCGAGGATCAAGAAGCAAGGAGTCAAGAAGCCAAGAGTCCGAGGGTCAAGAAGCAAGGAGTCACAAAGTCAAGGGTCCGAGGATCAAGAAGCAGGGAGTCAAGAAGCCGAGGTTCAAGGATCAGGAAGCAAGAAGCCAAACACAGCAAGGCAGGGAACGTGTTGCTGTGGCAAAGAGCGAAGGGAAATGTTGACCTTATATCCCTTCCCAGCTCTTGCCACCTGGTGCTGTGAGTTACCAATCGGCCTCACCTGTGAGGCAGCGCCTTGCCTCTTCAGAACAAACTTAGGAAGGCCCCATTCCTGCAAATTCCTATTGGTCACAGGGCCTGGCTGCTGCACGCACTCCTGACAGGTGGGACACTGGAGAGCAGTCTGAAGAAGGGAGGAGGTGGGAGACGCTAGAAGCAGGAGCTTGGAGCGGTCAAAGGGGGGTGGGGTGTTAGAAGAAAGAGGCCCTTCAAAGACAGGCTGAGAATTGTGGTGTGAGTGCAGACTCAAACAGAGAGGAGTCAGAAATTGCTACCCAGCAGTGGGACAGTCCCAGTTCTGCTGGCTTATCTCCCCGTCTGACACTCCGACCGAGGAGAGACCTGCACATTGCTGAGCAACAGGCCAGACATGCCCAGAGGAGGAACCACCACCCCCTTGACGCAGCCTTCGTCTGCTTTTGAGGGATCCAGAGTGCAAGGCTAGAGGGGAAGGGTGGGGGCAGTGGTCAGTTTCAGCAATGTATCCTTCTGGATTAGGCCGAGTCAGAGGAACTCTGTCGTGTTGCCATTTTCTGTGACTAAAATCTAATTGCATTTCATGCCTCACATTCTTCCTGCCCTGTGGATGACCTGCGCTTGCCTGACAATCCCTTGACAGTTCCCCACAAATCAGTGGCCCCCTCTCCAGAGCCAGACTCCAACACCTCTTCCCCACAGTGCACAGTTGCCTGTATCCTGCCAGTTCCCGGTACCCACCCCAAATAAACAATAGTCGGGGAATATTTGTGGAATATTTGAAAAATCATGGTATGCAACTAGGTGCATTGGTAGGGTTTGCAGTGGTGCCTCGCAAGACGAAATTAATCCGTTCCGCAAGTCTCTTCATCTAGCGGTTTTTTCGTCTTGCGAAGCAACCCTATTAGTGGCCTAGCGGATTAGCGCTATTAGCGGTTTAGCGGCTATTAAAGGCTTAGCGGCTTAGCGGCTAAAAGGCTATTAGCGGCTTAGAAAAAGGGGGGGGGAGCGAAAAAAATCTCAAGACTCGCAAGACATTTTCGTCTTGCAAAGCAAGCCCATAGGAAAATTCATCCTGCGAAGTGCATCGAAAAACGGAAAACCCTTTCGTCTAGCGGGTTTTTCGTCTTGCGAGGCATTCGTCTTGCGGGGCACCACTGTACTTAAATCAAGCAGTTAAAAGTATTGTCAAGATTAATTGTAGAACAGTTCAAAAATGGAATGAAGTGGAAAAGCCAGTGTTAAAAATTTAAACAAGAGAAGAAGCTGCAAAAGGGAGGGAGGGAAGTCTGATATGTATCGATATTGGAAATATGAGACTTTAAGATGTGTATTCGTAAATTATTGAAAACTGAAAACAGAATTTATAATGGTGTTATCTAAACAAAAACAAAACAAAACAAATAAAACACAACCCCCAGATTCCCAGCTTTCATTGCTGCTTTTCCTGTTGGGTTTTTTAGTTTTTAGTTAGTGTTTCTGGGAATGTTCTATGTAAATAAATAATAGAACTAGATAGATAGGGTTGCTCAAAACGCGGTCATTTTCTTACCGGGGCACACTCCACCTTGGCACACCCTCCGTGCCAGCAAGAGACTCGCCCTCCGTCACACATGCAGAACTCGCACCCGGTACCGTTCCACATCTCGTTGTGGTACCTTACGATGCCGTCATGGACGCAGCTCCCCTTGGAGGGGACGCATTCCTCGCAGCAAACTCCAGGACGCTGTATTTTGCTCTCCCCCTAGGAACACGCAATTCAGATGCCTCGTGAAAAGAGAGAACAGCAAACTGCCTGGATTCTCCCAGGATTCCAAGCTCAGAAATTACCTTCTCGCAGGTCACAGGTGTGCAGGTCTGCCTCAGACACCTGGGCTCCCCTCTGTCGCAGACGCAGGTTGTGCAGGCATCTTTCTGCCACTGCTCGCCGTGCTGTGCAACAGAAATAAACGTAAGTACTCCATTCAGGTTAACCGCTGGTGTCCACATGGGGTGGACAACACCACAAAATAGCTTGATGAAGACTGGGCATCCACAAAATGGTGGCTGGCTGTTGGGAGGAGAAAAATGAAAAACTGGGCGGTAGGAGGAACCAAATAAGAGTATCCTGAGCAGGCACACAAAGAATAATAGAATTGTAGGGAAGAGAACATGAGGGTCATCTAGTCCAAGCCCCTGGAACATGTGCAGAGGAGGGTGATTGTTATGTACTGAGTTGAATAGGATCCAAAATGCAGCAGTCTGATTGGTACTAGAACAATGCAGCAGTATGTTTGGTCCGCAGGAGCCACCCAATCCAGCTCCAGATAGAAGTGAATCCACAACCTGATTGGCCTACAGGAGAATCCCGGAATAAGCCAATCACGTGCAGCCCATTGTGTAAATAATGTATATAAAGCAGATATTTTGGGGGAACATTCATTCCTCCTCACCACTATGAGCTGAATAAAGAGCATGAAATCCACTCTCGACTCTGAGTATATTTCAGTGACCAAGGTGATCAAGGATCTGGAAACAAAATGTATTCTAAAGAGGAAAGTCTTCACTTTTTTATGATGGAGGAAATCTACATTGTTTTTAATTGGACACTTTGATTTCTAAATGAACTGATGGGGTACGCCAGCCACCCAAAACCAACAAGCGTTTGCTTGGGTTGCTGCTAAGGAGGGCGATACTCGTTGTGCTGACTCGAAAAGGGGGTGGGAAGAGAAAAAGGGGTTCTGCCTTCTGCACTTCTGGGGCATTAACCATACTCTGTTTTTTGCTAGCTGTGGATGGCAAGCTCCTTCTCAGACCTTCCTAGTTTACAACTTGATCCTTTTTTAACGAAACACATTGTATAAATGGTCTTATCTGTCTTAATTTTAAAATAAAATGCTATCAGCTGCGTGGGGGCGGGGAGGATCTGGAAACGAAGCCTTATGAAGAACGGTTGAAGGAGCTGGGTATGTTTAGCCTGAAAAAGAGACTGAGAGGAGATGTGATAGCCATCTTCAAATATCTCAAGGGCTGTTCCATGGAAGAGGGAACAAGCTTGTTTCTCCTGCTCCGGAGGGTAGGACTCAAACCAATGGCTTCAAGTTGCAGGAAAGGAGATTCCAACTAAACATCAGGAAAAAGTTCCTGGCAGTAAGAGCTGTTTGACTGTGAAATGGACTCCTTCAGAAGGTGGTGGACTCTCCTTCCTTGGAGGTTTCTAGGCAGAGCTTGGATGGCCATCTGTCATGGATGTGTCAGGGGACTGCCATCGGAACAGGGCAGGGAGGCAGAGGGGCAGCTGGGATACAGGGAACCTCCAAAAATCTTGAGAAGCAGTTCCTCTTCCTGCGGTGGGGAAATCCACACCTCCAGTGGAGAAGAGGGGAAGGGACCAGAGGATGCTGCTGGGAGCTCCAGCGCTGCACCTCATCAGTCTGAGGATGGGGAAAGCCACACCTCCTGGGTAAAGGAGGGGAAAGGGCTAGAGGATGCTGCTGGGAGCCTCAGCACTGCTCCTGGCCAAGTCGGCCAGGAGGGAAGCATGCCTCTTCCGTCGCCCACCTTGTGCAGAGGGGTAAAATACAAAGAAGGAAGGAAAAGGCTGGGGGTGACTAAGCTCTTATGTTGGGGGAGGACCCAGAAACGACCACTCCCGGATTCTGCTAGCAATTGAGGCAGACATGAACTTGTGGTTCTGCACTGTAAATAGTTTTGCACCAAAATAAAACCTGAAAAAGACAGGTCAGAGTCCTGACTGGTTACTCATGAGCAACCACCATTGCCATCTGACAGGATGCCTTAGCTGCAATTCTTGCATTGCAGAGGGTTGGACTAGATGACCCATGGGGTCCCTTCCAATTCTATGATTCTATGAATGCAGGAATCTTTCACCCAACTCGAGGTTCAAGCCCACGACCCTGATATGAAGAGCCTGGTGCTCTACCAACTGCGCTATGTTTCGTCGCATGCCCTGCTCGCATAACTCTGTAACGCATCAAATGCATTCCTGATTTTTTTAAAAATAAAATAAAAATGCAAAGCTCTGTCCTGGATCGCCAGGGCCTGTTATCTCCCACCCGCCCTCGCCCTCCTCTTGCACACCACTTTTCAAACTATGTTAACAGGAACGGCCTTATCTACCCTGGCCTGTGAACTGAGTTGTCTCTCACCAGCACATTCCTTTCTACTTCTTAATCCCCTTCATTTCGTCAGGCTTCCCAGGAAGAAGAAAAGCAGCAGGTTGTAAAAAGGAGAAGAAGAAGAAAGGGGGGAAAGAAGTCGTTCACGAGTGCCAGGGGAGAGGAGCAGAAATGTGTCATATGCAGCCCACGCCAAGTCGATTCCTGCCTGCCTTCATCAAAGGGTTTCCTTACCTCATATGCTCTCCCAGGTGCAGAGCAGGATTTCGGAGTGCATTGTGGGCAACACCTCCCAGCAGGTACAACCACACTTTCATCCTGAGCATTGGGGAAAGGGAGGGTGGAAAGAAAGAAATTGCATATAATAAGAGAGACACCAGACCTGGGAATTATAGGGACCGGACGACCCAGACCGTATAGGAATTTATTCGTGTATGCAACCTCGGCGGCAAGAATGTTACTTGCCCAAAAAAAATGGAAAAGAAGAAGAAGTCCCAGCAAAATAAGAATGGATAAAAACATTTATGGAATAAGCAGAAAAGGCGAAACTTACCGGAAAAATAAGAAAATCAAGATAGCAAACGCCTTATAAAAGAATAGAAATGGTTTGTTGAATGTTTGCAAATAAACTGTAAACAGATAAGAACATTGGCAGGATTATTGTAATAATCTGCAGTTTTGTAAGAGTAGACGAATAAATGGTAAAATTAAGTGAATTTGGATACGCAGAAAATATTCAAAATAAACTGAAGGAACCGCAGAAAGAGGGGGAAGGGAGTTTTGAAATGCTAAAATTATTATAAAATTGAAAATCATAAATAAAATCATTTTTAAGAGAGAGAGAGAGAGAGAGAGAGAGAGAGAGAGAGTATATCAAGGTAATGTTTCACCTGGCAGGTCATTTTTGCAAATAACAAAAGCTCTCAAATCAAGCAGCCCTGTTGATTTGGGACCTTTCGTCCCTGAGATCTAATGCCCTCCATAGAGGCACAGAGGGGCCTAGATCTCCCCTTAACTTTGCCCCAGGTAGCTAAGCCCCTTTCCCCCAGGATGATCAGGTAAAATGACTACAGCTGTAGGAATGGCTAACTGGTAAAGGCAAAGGATAGATACAGCCTATTTTCTAGCACCCAACAACCAATTATGCCATCTTACTTGCTGGCCCTGGGGGGCCCAGCAAGGGAGAAAGGAAGTGAACTGCACTGAGCACTAAATATGTGGCAAGAGAGATACAGGTAGAGACTGGAGTTGAGGCTGAGGGCAAAGAGGCCACTCTGTTCTGTTGTTCTACAATATTAATGAAATGTGTCTCGGGATCCCTTTTGCATTTAATTTTTGATTCTGCACGCTGCATCACCTTGACATATCCTCCTCCAGCACTTCCAAAGCACATCCAAGGGTCCCCGATTTCAGCCCTTGGAGACTCCAGGGGGACAGCTGAAGCTTTGCAGCTTCAAGTCCAACTCTGAGATCTCTCAAATCTCAATGGGAGCCACTGATTCCATGGAGAAAAGTGAATGCGCAGGTATCTTCAGATGATGGGGAGCCCATAGCACCCCATTCTATACTGTGCTGGTTTGAGGGTGGGCGTTTTTGCCCTTGTTTGAGGATGACTCCCTTGCAGGCTCTCCTACTACACAACCACACAGCAGCAAATGAATGCAGAATAGGCTACATGCCCTGGAAAAACTGTTCATGGCTCTCCCAAGGGGCAGCAGCTACTTCTTCTTCTTCTTCTTCTTCTTCTTCTTCTTCTTCTTCTTATTATTATTATTATTATTATTATTATTAATTTAATCATTTTTAATACAAACAACCACAAATGACATACTATAACAAAAACTATAACAACACTAATAACACAATTTGACAATACAGATTTGAATACACTGACTATACCTTTTTAACAATATTTTCCCACCTCTCTATCCTCCCCCTACTTCCCACCACTATCCGCCTTATCACTTAAATATTCCTTCCAGATTTCTTCATATTTATCCATTCTTAATTTGCGTCGACATGCAATTCGTTCGTATGTAGCTAATCTGTCCATATTATCAATCCATGTGCTCAATGGAATCTTTTTGCGGCTCTTCCAATTCATCAAAACAAGTTTTTTTGCTTCTAATATAGCACGGTACATCCAATTTTTCTGACCCCTTGTAATCTCCCACATTTCCGGAATATAATTTAGAATTCAATTCAATTCATAGGGGCAGCAGCTACTTGAAAGAGAGCCCTGCCATCTTTGTCCCCATCTTGCGCAACTCAGCCAACAAGGGTACCCTCGGGAACTGGCCAAGGTCCTGTGAACCTCTTTGCCTTGCGCTGAGCCGGAAGAGTCTCTGGCAGTCATTGCCGCTTGCCCTGGGCACCCCCAAGCCCCAGAAAAACAGGGTAGCTGTCATCAATGGTGTCCCTTAAAGAGGAGACAGGCCCAACATTTGCTGGCCCCCAAGGGACACGGGTAGCGCTGTGGGTTAAACCACAGAGCCTAGGACTTGATGATCAGAAGGTCAGCAGTTTGAATCCCCACGACAGGGTGAGCTCCCATTGTTCGGTCCCTGCTCCTGCCAACCTAGCAGTTCAAAAGCACATCAAAGTGCAAGTAGATAAATAGGTACCGCTCCGGCGGGAAGGTTAACGGCGTTTCCATGCGCTGCTCTGCTTCACCAGAAGCGGCTTAGTCATGCTGGCCACATGACCCAGAAGCTGTATGCTAGCTCCCTCCGCCAATAAAGCGAGATGAGCGCCGCAACCCCAGAGTCGGTCATGACTGGACCTAACGGTCAGGGGTCCCTTTACCTTTAACCTCTAGGAGGCAATGGAAATCTTTCACTTTGGAAGAAGGAATGAAGACGCGGTGTTGCCTTACTGATGGACACTTTGCCAGTGCAGGAATGAAAAATGAGAGAGACGAATGAGCAGGGTAGGAGCCTCACCATTAAAGTTAATGCATTTTCCATTAGAGCCTCATCTTAGGATATCTATCAAACATACTCAAAATTAGCTAAAGGGTGAATTGAGTTGCTGTTGCTGCGTTAACCCCTGAAGCCCGCAGGTCTGATTATTCACACCCTCCTTGTCTCATCGATAGATCTCTTCCACATTCTAATGACTGGCTGATTAAATAATAGTGTGATCAGTGGCAAAGATGTGGGGTGAGATGAAAACGTTCAAGAATCTCCCATCAACTTGTCCAGAAGCTCATTTCTTTCGAATCTCCGTGTTTTGCGATTCATCCGAGCCAGCGCAGAGCATTTTTGAATGCTGCCTGAAAGCGGTTTTATGCTCTCGTCAGAAAACTGGCATTAATCTGCTAGAGGAAATAGGCTGGTTACATCTTTATGAACTAATCCTCTGACATGACAATACCCTCTGAAAAAAAAGGTATTTGGCTGTTAACTGCCGTTAAATGTTACTGCATTATAAATTCTTCTAAAATCGGGAGGGGGGGTGAATCTAATAAAGGAACTGGGTATTACTAATGTGAACACCTGGCTGCTTCCGACGCAGGTGAGAAGATGTGAAGAGAGAAAATAAATTTATGAGGATGAAGATTGTTTGCTGAATGCCTTCCCCGGCCAAGGTTTCGGCTGCTAACCTGGATGACTAAGCCCACATATCAAGGGCGCTGTTCAGTGAATGTAAAAAAGGAATGTGCAGAATAGCAAAAAAATAATAAAGGCAGCAACCTCCTGACACCAACTGTAATTTGGAGGGTGGTACTCAGCAATGAAGAATGGAAATAGGGCTATCTACAAATGAGATGGGAGGAAATGTAGCCGCCTTATTTCTTGGCAGGAACGTTTTGTATTGATCTGAATAAAGGCCACACTCTGCCCCACCAAACCCAGCTTGTATGAAATCTGAGTGTGGCCTAGGATTGTGTTCTTACAGGCAGCAGAGTTAAAATGGGTATATGTGGCATCAGACTACTCAGGCCAATGGAATAAAAGCAGGTTGGAGACCCTACAATTTCAATAGACCAAGGGGGTGATCACCTATGTGAAGGTTGGATTATTTAAAACCAACAGAAAGGCTGGTGTGGATGCAGGAAGGAAACAACAGAGGACACTGGAGAGAACTTGAAGAGGTGCTTCTCCAAAAATGGACGTGAGATGCTGAAGGAGGAAGAAGGCAGAGAAGATTCAAGACATCTCTTTTTGGGGTGTGGCCTATATTCAGGGGAAGCTTATATTTGGACCCAAAGGGATGCAGGTGGCGCTGTGGTCTAAACTACTGAGCCTCTTGGGCTTGCCGATCAGAAGGTCGGCAGTTCAAATCCCCGCGACAGGGTGAGCTCCCGTTGCTCTGTCCCAGCTCCTACCAACCTAGCAGTTCGAAAGCACACCAGTGCAAGTAGATAAATAGGTACCGCTCCAGCAGGAAGGTAAATGGTGTTTCCATGCACTGCTCTGGTTTCCATCACAGTGTTCTGTCATGCCAGAAGCAGTTTAGTCCTGTTGGCCACATGACCTGGAAAGCTGACTGCGGACAAACGCCGGCTCTTTCGGCCTGAATGCGAGATGAGCGCTTCAACCCCATAGTCGCCTTTGACTTGACTTACCATCGTGGGGTCCTTTACCTTTTACCTTTTACTTATATTTGGACCCAATCAGAACATGTTTTTTTTTTAAAAAAAGTCACATTGCCAGAAAGTGTCTGTTTTCCAGAAATGGTGACCATAGCCATGGGTCACTGAGGAGGCAGTCCCTAATAACTGTTTCCCATAACAGGCTACAAAATTCACAGGATGCTTTGGGGAAGGCATGGCTCTTAAAGTGGTACAAAAGTGCTTTAAATGTATAGTGTGGGTGTGACTTTAGTCTCTCTTGTATATCCTGTTTCTCTCCAAAGCTTAAGCACGCAAGTGTCTCTGTCTGTTCCTACACAAGTATCTTCTTATTCCACCCTCATTTTGGCTTTTCTAATCCAAGCCTCATTGAACCTACTGTCAGGAGTTCAGCCTACACTCGAGTAGGACCCTGGCAGAGACACATGCCTGACTGTCATGTTCTCTCCCTCGTGGTCGATCATTCAGGAGCTTCAAAAGATTTCTTCAAAAGCGACCGATGCCAAGAGACATCGGCAAACTTAGGGATCCGCAGAGTCTTCGCAACTTGCGTAACAGACCTCAGCAACTCAGCATTTTGGCTAATCTACTTTATTTACATATAAACACACACGGAGCACTGCAACATGGCTCCCTCTCTCTCTAGCATCAGGCAGCAAAGAGAAAAAGAACAAAGGACAATAGTCCCACTTCACGGAACACAGTAACACAAACATCCTGTTTCCGTCACTTCCCACTTTGTAGAGTCAAAACATATACTGTCATGTGAAAGACAAAAATCCCATGACTGCAATCATGGGGCAGGAATTCTAACACCTAGCTCTGCTCAGGGTGAATTGGTTCCATGTCCTCTAGAACCACGGTGGGGGCACCTCACTGTTATCAATAGTAATAGGACTGCAAACATTTTCTCGCTCAAAGAGGAGATTTGGCATCATGTTGCAAGCAATGTAATGCATGTCACATTGCTATGGAGTCAAACTAAACTACATGACGTCAACACGAAGCCAAGTGAGAGTTAAGGCAATAACAGTTTTGCTCCATTCCTCTCTGAAACTGGGGGGTCATTTTGAGGGGGCAAAAGTTTTCATGAAATGCCTGCCCACCTTTCTTTAAAGCTCAGCTCCAGTTAGTCACAGTAGAGGAAACAGATAAAGTTAAGACAATGCCTTGTTTTTTCAGTATCTGGATGGCAAAGTTGAATAGGAAAATAAATAATAACCATTTAAAAGAAAAAGTTGAATAAAATGCAGAGAAGTCATGCACAATCTTACCTCTTTACACAATATAGGCTGACAAACTACGGTGAAACACTGCACAGTCCCATTCCGACAGACACATCTGGCACACTTGCTGGGTTTCCAATCCTCACCATCCAGGTACGTTTGACCATCGAAAGAGCAAGGCTCTAAAAGGCATTGAAGACCATTGGTTTTTTCCTAGGTTCACGGAACATTCGAGAGCAGGGCTGGTGAACCTCTGGCCTCCAGATGTTCATAAAGTCTGGGTCCCATCAGGCCCAGACAGCGTACTGAACAGCCAGCAATGGTTCAGAAATATCTGGAAAGCCAAAGGATTCCTACCTCTACTCTAGAGTCTGTGAGGTTATACTTTGTTTTTCAAAGAGCAATCTCACAACATCAGGCATATCTGTAACACTTCCGTAGATACGTTGTCTTCTGAATCTGTCCTTGTGGTCAAGAAGGGACGCAGAAGCACATGGAAAGTCTTGTGTTTCAAATGAGAAATGTGTGTTCCTCTGGTGTATCCCTATATTCCCCCTTTCCCAAGAGGAAAATAATATCGGAAGAATGGAAAGATGCCTTCCGCCATCATGATGAAGGGCAAAGGAGGGGAGTAGGTTGTTGTTTTCATTTTTATTATATATTTTGTGGCTTTATATTTTGATTTTGTTCTGTGAACCGCCCTGAGACCTCCAGGTATATAGGGCGGTATATAAATAATAATAATAATAATAATAATAATAATAATAATAATAATAATAATAATAGATTGCGCCTCCATTCCCAGTTCTCATGCTCTAAGTTATAAATCTGCACAGAATTGATGCACACACAGCTGAACAGGCATGGAATTCTGCATGATCTTGAAAGTTCCCTCGTTAAAGGTATCATGTAAATGCAAATCAGAGATCACACAGGAAGCCAGAAAGTCGGTCTTAAATGATGCATAAATGTGTGTGGCGGTCAATCCCTGCTGCTACATGTCTCCTCAGAAAGGCACATGGCCAGGGACATGCAAAGAAAGAGAGAGTCTGTGTGGTGTAGTGGTTAGAGTGTTGGACTAGGACTTGGGAGTCCAGGGTTCAAATCCCCAAGGAGCCATGAAGCTCACTGGGTGACCGACCTCACAGGGTTGCTGTGAGGATAAAATGGAGGGGAGAACTATGTACTTGAGTTCCTTGGAGGAAAGGGATATAGATGTTTTAATAATGAAAGAGGCAGCAGTGAGCCACTGAGAGGACAGCCCAGCACAATACAGGTTGCGGTGGAAAAAGCTGAACCTAGGTTGGCATTTTCAGGGCACCAAAGTCAAGCCAAGAGGACACCATCAGCATGTAAATAATAATGAATCTTTGGCCTATTAAAATGTGGGGGTAGGGTGTTTTTGTTTGTTAATATGTTAGATATTTTTGTGTTTTTTATACTGTAAACAGCCCTCTGGCCCTCTGATCTCCGGATGAAGGGCAGTATAATAAGAAAATAATAATAATAATAATAATAATAATAATAATAATAATAATAGGTTAAGCAATCAAATGGATGGATAGCTGGAGCGCCAGATTTCCCTCCCCTATTTAAAAGTGGCTGTATAAATCCTGCAATAAGCAACAGCTTATTGGACAAGCTTAGATTACATTTGGCTAAGCCGCAGCGACGGCGGCAAGTCTGCTTACGTTTTCAAGACGGGCAAATCCAGGGCGAATCCCCTCTCCCTTCACCACCCTTTTACTCACTCACCTCCGCTGCCGACACACCGTGGGCAGCACTCTCCTTGCCTGGGGGCGCCCACTCCCTCGCAGGAGAGGACAGGGCAAGCCTTGGGGCTGCAGGTGATTTCCCCATTGGCACAAGAGCAGGTCGTACATTCGGAGCCAGCCCATTCCGTACCATGCTACAGGGGGAAACAGAGGGTGAAAAACACATACCTGTCAATTATTGGCAACAGAAGAAGCTGTGGGACTTTGCTGGATTATATTTTCCTGTCTCCTAATCCCATCATGAATGGGATGCCAAGGAAACCAGATCATTTGACTCTAAGGCGAGCCCTGCTAGATCAAAGACCAATAGTCCATTCGGGTCAGCATCCTTTTCTCCTAGGGGCTAACCAGAAGCATATGGGAACCAGGACATGATGCAGAAAACTTTCCCCATCTGTGATTCCCAGCAATTGGTATTCAGAGGCACATTGCCCACCTCCCAAAAAGCAGAGGTACTATACAGCTGGCAATTGTGGCTAGTAGGTGCTGAGGGTTTCACCCTCCACGAATTTGCCTCGTCCTGTTTTAAATCCATCCAAGCCACCATGGCATCTTCTATTCTGTACATACAGTGGTATCTCAGGTTACAGACGCTTCAGGTTACAGACTCCGCTAACCCAGAAATAGTACAGTGGTACCTTGGGTTAAGAACTTAATTTGTTATGGAGGTCTGTTCTTAACCTGAAACTGTTCTTAACCTGAAGCACCACTTTAGCTAATGGGGCCTCCTGCCGCCACCGCGCCGCCGGAGCACAAGTTCTGTTCTCATCCTGAAGCAAAGTTCTTAACCCGAGGTAATATTTCTGGGTTAGCGGAGACTGTAACCTGAAGCGTATGTAACCCAAGGTACCACTGTACCTCGGGTTAAGAACTTTGCTTCAGGATAGGAACAGAAATCGCGCAGTAGCGGCGCGACCTCCAGAACGAATTAAGTTCTTAACCCACTGTACTTTTAAGGGTGTCCCACTTCCTCAGGCAGTATTAAAACCTCAGACACCCAGACTTAGGTTTGCTGGATTGAAGGTGTCTCTGTAATATTTGCAATGGAGGTGCACAGATTGGCTCCTACAAGCAGGAAACCCCACTGCCCCACCTCAGATTTCCAGAGAGAGCCAATTCTGAGCGTGCAGCTCCTACCTCACTCGCTCTCAGTCTGTTTCCCAGTCTGTCTTACATCATCCTTAGTTGGCGGGGGGGTGGAAATATATCATCTACCTCCCACCCTGCTCAGATGGGTTTCAAACCCCCGGGGCTGATAGTCACTGTGACTCTACCACAGAAGAGGACACTGCTTTGCATAAAGTGTACATGTTCTAATGTATTAAATGTATACAGTGGTACCTCGGGTTACATACGCTTCAGGTTACAGACTCCACTAATCCAGAAATAGTGCTTCAGGTTAAGAACTTTGCTTCAGGATGAGAACAGAAATCATGCTCCGGCAGCACGGCAGCAGCAGGAGGCCCCATTAGCTAAAGTGGTACCTCAGGTTAAGAACAGTTTCAGGTTAAGAACGGACCTCCAGAATGAATTAAGTACTTAACCCGAGGTACCACCGTAGATGCAAATTTAGAAATACCCTGATTCTGGGATGTTTCTGCTATTCCCCGGCCACTGGTTCTCATAAGGGACATTTTCCTAATCACTAAGCCAGAAGTCACTAAACGCCCTACTAAAAGTATGGCCAGATCTGTATGGCAGGCTCGACCAGAACTCATAACATCATCGCCCTTCCTCCTACCCCTGAGTTGAAAATAAAGCCAGGCTCATATATTTTAATGTTTGCATTTGCTGCAATAATACTTTCGAACATACATTATAACTGGAACCATTATTGCCTTGCTTTAAAACTAAGGAGGACATTTAAATCTTTAAATTCTGCCATGTTTCTCCATTTTATGCCCCCGTTTAGCCAGCTGGCAAAGAACACCCCTGAGAGACCCTTTAGATCTCAACTTTCTCTGTTGGCGAAGCAAGCAGAGGAAAAGTTATATAAGCAGCAAAGTGGGCAGAGACCAAAAGCGTAGAGCTGTAGCCAGAGAAATTGCTGTCTGAGCAAAACAGCTTCCACTCATGCAATGGGAATTCCCATTCCTCTCCTTCCCCCGACATGCCCGCCATCATACTCCCAAAAAACTGATGTGCTCCAGAACAGATTGGTGGGTTCAGGGCAGCTGCTGTGGGATAGGAATATTTTGTTTACAGAAGTCGTTCTGCCCGCACAATGATGTCGTCCAACCTTCTGCACGCAGGAATCTTTTGCCCAATGGGGGGCTTGAACCAACGGCTCTGAGATTGAGAGTCTCATGCTCAACCAACAAGGCATCTCAGCTGCAGCCTTTGTGGGATTCAGCCCATAAAAACTGTGCTTTCTGAGCCACACGAGAGCTCCATCCATGCCCAGTATTCTGGGCAATGGCTGGCAGCCAGATCCATTTAGCTTTCACAGCCACCTGCCCTCTTGGACCGTGGATGGGGAAGCTGTGATCTAATAACATCTGGGGGTCCCAAACTCCCATCTTCCCAGACCACTGGCCATTCTGGCTGGGGCTGGTGGGGGGGGTGGATTCCCAGCAACGCACTGGAGGGAGACATGTTCCCCATTGCTGTGTTGCATCCATTCTCTCTGAAAAGTCCACCCTGTTGATTCTTTTTTTTCTAATGGAAAGACAGGAAATACTAGAAAAACAACATTCTAATAATAGTCTAATCTAGAGTGGTGACTGGTCCCTGTTTATCCCTAGCAAATAAAACTTGGGAGATACACTGCACATGAGGATTCCATAGTTGTCAATTGACAGATTTGAAAATAAGGGACCAGCAGCCTCGAAAATAAGGGATCAGCAGCCAAAATAAGGGATTTTCCAAGCACAGGTATGTTCAACTTCTGAGCCCCTCCGAGCCAAAGGCAGAAAGCCCAGCCAGCAGCCAAACAAAGCCTCAAGCTGTGGTTCCCACAGTGCAGCAACCCGGCAAAGGGGATGCAGCAAGGAAAACCACCGTCACCTCTCCTCTGGGAAGCGCTGAGCAAAGGTGAGTCCCCAGGCAACACGGCCGATTTGATCAGCACAAGGCATGCCAAGCTCCACCCCCCAGTCGTTCTTAGACTCCTTATTGGGTGAGCAACGCAGCCAAGCAACACAGTTGGAGCCTCCCTCCTCCCTGGCCAGCAGGGAGGGAAGGAGAGGAGCTGCTTCCTTTGAAACCCGGGAAATTTAAGGGACATCATCAATAAGGGACAGCAGCGGGACACAGTGCTGGGATAAGGGAGTTTCCCGCCAAATAAGGGACGGCTGACAGCTATGGGGTTCTATTTTCTGCTAGCATGGTGAAGACTCGTTGACAGGCCTACTAGTTGGAGCAATGGCTGCTTTCTGGAGAGGTGTCTGCTGGCAGTCCTACGCTACTCCTTGCGAGCCCCAAATTTTCGACAAATGGGAGATACTACACTGAGCAAACAAATGAAATGATTAATGGTTCTTCCTCTATACTTATGCAATAAGCCAGCTCCTGGAAACGAACATACTCATATTCTCGCAGCGAAAATGCCAAGCTTGTGAAATTGACCCAGTTGGCAGCGAGAGTGCGCCAGTTATTATTTTTTTTTCCCCATTCCTCTTCTCATCTTTGGGTATCTGCCCAAAAGTTAATTTGCAGCAATAACTTTGGTTAGACCATGTGTGAAGCCGCCTAAGACTGCTCTGACCTAGTTCCCCGAATGGAAGAACTGGAGAAAAATCTAAGGCAGCCAAAGAATTGGCCGAGCGGATCAATGCAACGCTTTGTGGATATTAAGAAAGCCCAGCCATCAAGCGAACAGACTTCTCTCGGCCCGGCATACCAGACAAGCAGCTAGATCTCACTCAGATTGTGTTTCCCGCATGAAGTTCTCTGAATGTCTATCTGAAGCAGCAAGGCAAGGTCCCAAGGGGGAACGAGACAAGAGTTATTTCCAAGAAGAAAAGCCAACTGCAAGTTGAAAGGGATACACAAGAAATGCTCACCTCATGGACCCGTCCTTCATGCTCACAAAATCCCTCCGTTTGCAAAACGCACACAGGGCAGCAAGCGTTGGCAGGTGTTTGTAGCACGTCCCCCTGAACGGGAAAAAGCCATTCAGCAAGTGTCACAAATCCATCTGTCTAGAAAAGCCCATTCCTGGTATTCCAACACACAGTCTCAACAATATAGGCCTCCTCTGTTCAGAATGGAAAGGTGTAATAATAATAATAATAATAATATTATATTATATAATTATATAATATATTATTATTTATTTATACCCCGCCCATCTGGCTGAGTTTCCCCAGCCACTCTGGGCGGCTCCCAATCGAGTGTTTCTAATCCTAGCATCCATAAGGGTGATATTATTATTATTATTATTATTATTATTATTATTATTATTATTTTGTGGGGAGCTGTGTTCAATCTAACAAAAGAATGCAAATAGGAACTGAGCAGGGAGAGGAAGTAAGTCTCTTGTGCATTGTAGAGACCATATAAAACAGGTCCTGAAAGACCTACACTGGCTCCCAGTACGTTTCCAAGCACAATTCAAAGTGTTGGTGCCGAACTTTAAAGCCCTAAACAGCCTCAGCCCAGTATACCTGAAGGAGCATCTCCATCTTCATCATTCAGCCTGGACACTGAGGTCCAGTTCCAAGGGCCTTCTGGCACTTCCCTCACTGCGAGAAGTGAGGTTACAGGGAACCAGGCAGAGGGCCTTCTTGGTGGTGGCACCCGCCCTGTGGAACACCCTCCCACCAGATGTCAAAGAGAAGAACAACTACCAGACTTTTAGAAGACATCTGAAGGCAGCCCTGTTTAGGGAAGTTTTTGATGTTTGATCTTTTATCGTGTTTTTAATATTCTGTTGGGAGCTGCCCAGAGTGGCTGGTGAAACCCAGCCAGATGGGCGGGGTATAAATAATAAGTTGTTGATAATGATGATGATGATGTGGGTGCCATAGGAGGTACCACTGGGCACCTGTCACATTGGTAACCCCTGTAATAAACTAAAAGCATAGAATTGTAGAATTGGAAAGGACCACAAGGATCATCTAGTCCAATCCCTTGAAATGCAGGAACCTTTTGCCCAATGTGGGGCTCAAACCCACAACCCTAAGATTAAGAGTCTCGTGCTCTACTGACTGAGCCACACTTTCAAATAAAGAAGAGACAATAGGAATATGCCTTAAGGTAAAGGTAAAGGGACCCCTGACCATTAGGTCCAGTTGTGGCCGACTCTGGGGTTGCGGCGCTCATCTCGCTTTATTGGCTGAGGGAGCCAGCGTTCAGCTTCCAGGTCATGTGGCCAGCATGACTAAGCCACTTCTGGCGAACCAGAGCAGCACACGGAAACTCTGTTTACCTTCCCGCCGGAGCAGTACCTATTTATCTACTTGCACTTTGACGTGCTTTCGAACTGCTAGGTTGGCAGGAGCAGGAACCGAGCAACAGGAGCTTACCCCGTCATGGGGATTCGAACCGCCGACCTTCTGATCGGCAAGTCCTAGGCTCTGTGGTTTAACCCACACCGCCTTAGATGGAATTAAACGACTGGTCCATAGAGTTCAGTGCTGTCCGCCGACCTTCTGATCGGCAAGTCCTAGGCTCTGTGGTTTAACCCACACCGCCTTAGATGGAGTTAAACGACTGGTCCATAGAGTTCAGTGCTGTCTGCACTGACTGGCAGCAGCACTCCAGGGTTACAGGCAGAAATCCTTCCCAGCCCTATAAGGAGATGCCAGAGACTGAATTTGCCACGACCACTCCATTTCTCCACGCGGACGCCATTCCGTCGCCTTACCTTCTCGAAGTCGCAGCGAGGGTTTTTGCAAACGACGCCTTTGCACAGGACAATGTCGCCATGGCAACTGCACTCACGGCAGGAGTCTGGCTTCCAAGCGGTGTTGTTCTGCAAACAAGTCATAAGCTCGGAATTAAAATTGCATTAAAAAGCATGAACACTGCACGCAATTACGGGGCAGCAAAGAGTTCAAACAAATTAAAAAGGGAAAGGGCCCTTAAACATTGCAGAGGCAAACTTGGCAAGGCAAGCCTATCTGCTACACGCCGATTAGTACCCATGGCTGTAACAAGTCCAAAGCTATTCATTCCGTACTTCCAAAACATGTAATCAAAAGGCTTGGGCCTGCGATGAAAAGCAATCAATTCCAGCTGCAAAATAATTGATCCACCTAAGACCTGGTAGTTACAATCTGATTAGAGCTTCTCTTCCATCCAGTGACGGCTTCTATAAACAGACTCGGGCTGGGAATTTAACAGCCTCCAAAGGAGCTTTTGACGCTCCATTCATATTAAAATTAATGTGCTAGGAAAATTACCTGGGGTGTCAAACAGCTCCTATGTATGGGGAGAAGCGGAAAAGATCTGGAGTCCTCTGGTTGGAGAGGAAGCAGGGAATGTATGTAAGAAGAGAGGAAAGTTCCTGAGCTGGAGGAGCAAGGAAATGTAGTCTTTGGTAAAATGATTTTTTGTGGGAAAATTAAGAAGCCGAGAGGAAAAAAACAGCATTTCCCCCCCTTTTCTCTTTGCACTCGATATACCCGAAAAGTGACTCCATTTTTGTGTGTGCATTTCCAACTACCCTCTCGAAATTTCGGGACAGGGTGTTGTGTGGCGATTCCCGCCCCCCCCCCCAAGTTGGAATAAAGACACAGGACACCATTAGTTTAGGTTAATGGGCAAAAATTGGCCACAACTTGATTGGTTACAGGTAAGAGCGGTATTGGCTTAGGCATTGGTCCTATCAGACTATCCGGCTTCAGCCTGTTAGCATGAAAACCGGAAAGGGTTAACACCAGCAGGGGGAGCCCTGCGATGCACATCAACTAGGAACTCCCCCGGGGTCACCGCTCGGAGGCGTGCTTTAGGCCCTGGCCTCCATAGGTTTCGGACGAGGCAACGCCCCCCGGGATCCTTTACTGGACTACCCTTCAATATCTGGGGGAGGTGATGGCGCTCCTCCCCCCCCAACACATCTACATAATAATACCCCTACCAATGCCTAACCGCCGAAACCAAAGACGTTGTGACGATTTGCTACGAGGTAGGCGAAAAAACCAAATGGCCGGTGCCAATTCGCCAAGTGGAAATCAGCTGCGTGGTCGAAAAGGGGAGATCCCGGGGCCGCACCGGCCTTAAATGACCCAGGCCACGCCCCTGGATCCAGCCGATTGGCTGGCTCTGGGGCTGGCGTGGCCCAAGGATTGCCCTGAAAGCCAGCCTTCACGCGAGTGTTGGGGGCGTAAGCCCACAGCAACACCACCTCTTCCTGATGTCAGAAGTGGCTTTGTCTTAAGCCCAATTAAAAAGGGGTGGGCATTTTCCAGCATCTGCTCTAACTAAAGTCCTACACACCCAGACAGTTCAGATCATGTCTGCCAACAAAGACCCCCAGTCTGAGCTCTAACGTTAGACTGCAGGTATCCAACCACCAACCCACACATTGAGTGATCCAAGTGTGAACCAACGGTATGCTCTGACAGTTCTGTGTCATCTTTCCATGTTCTACTTGAGTTAACTAGAAGTTTCATGCAAACTCAGCCCCAATGTGCTTTTTAAAAATGAAAAGCAGTTTCAAGAAGGGAAATCCACGCGCACACACGTCATTTCTCTGCTCTAAGCAACCCTCTTTCATTTTTTTTTGTTAATTTTTTAAAATTAATTTTCCAATTAAAAACATCCAATTACCGTATTTTTTGCTCTATAAGACTCACTTTTTCCCTCCTAAAAAGTAAGGGGAAATGTGTGTGCGTCTTATGGAGCGAATGCAGGCTGCGCAGCTATCCCAGAAGCCAGAACAGCAAGAGGGATCACTGCTTTCACTGCGCAGCTCTTGCTGTTCTGGCTTCTGAGATTCAGAATATTTTTTTGTCTTGTTTTCCTTCTCCAAAAACTAGGTGCGTCTTGTGGTCTGGTGTGTCTTATAGAGCGAAAAATACGGTAACATACCGTATCAAATCCTAATCCAATTAAAATAAAAAAAACTAAAATAAAAAGACCAAATTATCATCCAAATTAATTAATTTATTAATTATTAATAAAAAAAATAAGCAACCTCTTTCAAAGCTGCATTTAAATAAATAAAAAAGTGACACTGGGGGCACTTGCGCACATTTGCAATTTTCAGGTGGGATTCAGCTACAAGCCAGCAAATTCACAATACGGAACAGAAGATAATTTGGAGCTCTTGCACAACAACCCTGCTTTCTTCCACCACCCTGTAAAAACATGTCAGATAACATTTGCTTGATGCAAAATTGTCTAACGCTCCAGAAAACAAATCACAATGAGTGCTCAGTAAACAGGTCGTTTGGAAGCAACCTGGGAATCAGTTATATGGATTTGCATGTAGTTAGCTTCATGGAAGGCGAATATATCAAGCTCAGTGCTCAGACATTTTTGCTACTGCCCCATGAGTTTCCTCCAATGCAGTGTCCACTTCATAGCGTAGCCTTGTAGAGCTGGAAGGGACCACGGATGTCATCTAGTCCAACCCTCTGCAATGCAGGAATCTTTTGCCCAACGTGGTGCTCGAACCCAGAACTCAGAGATTTAAAACCTCACTTCCAGAGGGAGATGTTTCCCTGTGTTAAACATCACCCTTTCAGTCACACTGATATGCAGCTATAAGATCGGAGACTTCATTCCTTCTCAGTGAAACAGTACATGAAACCGAGTCCTCTCTAATAAAGCTGATGAGAATATTAAAGCTAAGTACTGCCACAGATCGGTGCAAATTTACAGCCCTGGAGCTCAGGAAATAAATGATACGGGAGAGGAGCCGTCATTTTTGCTCTGATAACATAAGTGACCCAACGTGCAGCGGCAGGAGCAGTAACAGGGGTACCCTGAGAAAACTGTCTTCCTGGGGCTGATTTACTATACAGCTGCAGAATCAATTGAGGCCAAGTTATATGGGTGTCAAGCTCTGCCTAACTCTCATGCTGTATTTAATCCATTCCTGTGCCTTAAAAAAAGGGGGGTGGGGAATAAAGCTGTTCCGTGTCAGGCACAATACTTTTTCCAAAGTTACCTGGAGCAAGCTCCAAGGCGCCACATACCTGCCCCCTTTGGAAGAATGATGCTCTGGTTTTGCGCCAGGATTAATGACCTTACCTGGTTGCTCACTGCGTTCCTGTACCTTGCTCATCCCAGCAGTAAAGGGGTGGGCAGGATGTCAACACAAGCAACAAGGGAGCTGAAGAAAGGCGCAAGGAGATTTCAGAAGTTGTTAGTAAGACTCTTGCAGCCTGCCGCAGAGGAGCGATTGCACTGTCTGTAAGGAAGGTGACTGCTTTTTGTAGATGATGGCAATCTTGGGCCTCCAGCGCCCAGGTTCTGTTAGGGCACCAGTAGCAGTGGTGGGGCAGAACTTCAGAGGTGTCCTCCCAACACCAGCGTTCGCTAAAGCTTGTCTAGATGGGCCAAGTCAGGGTTGTGTGTGCACTATCTCAAGACATGGTCCATGTCTTGAATTAGCGCACACACCATATCTGAACGTTCTGGGGTATGTGGCGTTCATACGGAGCCCCCGGTTGTCTCACGGACTATTGACCCGTACACCACTAATCCGCTGCCACCAACCAGGTCCCCCCTGGTAAAATTACTTCAGTCTCAGTCAGCTTCTCAATTAATAAATAAGAGTGTGTTTTATTTCAGACACAAACAAAACATTTACAGCATTCCAAACGTTGTTGCTCTTCACTTTCTTAGTCTTATTTTCCTCTCTCTATCTCTTCTACCTCCCCTACACTCAAGAACCCACTGCCCTAACTGTCTCTCTATTACCAACTGCCTTTCCCAACCAGCCAACCCATGAAATCCAACCAACTACCCACCAACAACTCCCAACGAACTCCTCCTAGAACTGGTTTTATAGACCCACTGACTCCACCCCCCGGGTCCTGTCTGTGCAACCTATTTAACTATTTCCCCTCCAGCACTCTCTCATATATGTTAAAGTCACAGGATAAGGATGTCAGGCGCACTGGGTTGCCATAGCAACGTCAGCAATGTCAAGCTTATGACTTGCTGAGCCATTTGCCCTCCCATTGGTTCAGGAATGTATAATGGTCTCCAGAGCCAACTTGCTTGCATTAAGCCCTGTTGCAAATCCTGATGCTGTCCCAATTTCTGTCAGGGTCTGACACAGAATCTATGAGAGTCAGGGGAAGAGGTTGTGGGTTAGCATGTTGATAGCGTTAGCAAATCTCTCTGTACATATGCATCTTTACTTCAAAGACCAGAAGAACTGGAGTGTCTTGTGTCTGGAGACAACGCTAGGATACTTGCAGATCACGCTAGACTAGGTGGACCCCTAAGTTAGTAACAGGATTACTTAACACAAAATAGTTCATCCTTAAGTCAGGGGTAGAGAACCTTCTTACTGCTCAGGGCCACATACGATGAGGCGTAATCTATTGGGGACCACATGGCGGAAGTGGTTGAAGTCAAAGTTGGTGACAGGCGGAATTTTCTAGAGTAACTCATTGGAAACAAAGCATGGCTTGCTTCAGTTTTCACCGTGGGTACCTCAGCTTCGAATTCCCAATCCTACTCAAGAGTAAGCCCCACTAGGTTTGATGCAGTAACTCTCAAATAAATACAGAGAAGCCTTTCTTAATTGGAAAGCAACTCCCATTGGGGCTGGGCGATATTTCAACATATTGTCCAAAACCAGTTTGAAGTCCATGTCGTGATATTGATTTTTTGCCCTGGCAATAAATTGCAAATCATGTTGTTTGTGCATGTGCTATGCAAAAATCACAATATGGGGGAAACCATGAAGCCAGCCAAGGCCTCTCTCCATTCCTGCAGCCCCTCTTAACTCTCTCTCCTGTCTCTTGCAGGGGGCAGCGGATCACAAGAGCAAGCGCCGGTAAAAATCGT